GGGCTGTTCTGATTTGAAGGACAGAAGATTGCCGACCCACGCAACGAGCCAGGCGGGAGCACCGGGAGGGACAGGTAGGAACTGGCTGGGCTGTCACTGTTATTTGCTGGTTTTTTGATACCACAATGGAAATCACGCGGCCAGCTGTCAGGCAGGAACTGAACAGGCTGTCAGTGGCATTCTGTATGATTTCACGGGGAAAAAGAAGGAGAGAAAAAAAATAAAATAAAAAAATCAAGGCTGAATATCCAGACGCCATTGGACTTGCTAGACAATACCCATCAGCTCAGGGAGAGGGCAGATTTACAATGTCATATTGGATTTCTTTGTTCTGTCACCCAAGCCTTTCAGCTGAAAATTCAAGGACTATCAAATCCATTTTAAAGCCTTTCTTTTCCAACCACTCTGAAGTTCCATTATTAGTAGCTATTACGTACTTGCCATTTGTATTTTGAATAATAAAATCTAAATTGTAACTGTCCACAGAAAATCAAATGCAATTGCTATTGCATTGTTGCTCTTTTTTTATTTCTCCAATTGAAGCGCATTTGGTAAAATTTACCCCTCCACCCACTCGCTTTTGATGAATATAAGTGCTATTTAAAATATATGCTAATGGCAGACCTTAATCTGAAATAATGTGTTCGAAAGCGCCGTTCCTGTTCAGATGGGCAGCTAATGCTAGATCGTACTCTGACCCTGGGGAAATTGTGCCTGAACATCAGTGGAAGATTAGTTTGCACTTCCCAGCTCCCGCCACCTGAATTTTAATTTGACTTAAAATTGCAGATGAATTTAAAATTCGGTTGTAGTTTCTGTTTTAAGTGTGAAACGTCACTTGTTTAGAAACCTGGCGTGTCTATCCCAGGTGAGGAAAACCTCCGAGTGGCTTCTGTGGAGTGGGTCTGTCTGGAAGGAGGCTTGTGGTGCACACTCAGTGAGCCGAGGGAAGAGGTTTGGTGCAGAAGATCTTGCCCTGCAGTTCAGAATTTATTAATTCAACCCCCTGGCTGTGCTGAGTAAACCCAGGCTGGCTTTTTAAACATGTGCCTCAGGAGTGAGAAGGGTCGAGTGACCCCTCTGTGCACATTAAACAGGACGTGCAGGTCTAAGGCTTGGTAATAAATATTTCAGGGACTTAGCTATACCTTTTGTGCCTTAAAATCTGGTGGTGATAATAGAGTAGATGCCAATATTTGAGAGCAAAAGGAGGAATTCTTGCAGCTCGTAAGTTACAATGCCTCTGCAGTGTTATTGATTCATCTGTCTGCCCTCTAGCATCTAGCCTTCCAGGAAACAAAAAGACCTTCTGACATTTGAAAGTAAGACACAAGAAGGAAAGATACTCAATGTCTTTAATATCTCCAGCCTACAAAATCTCCGCAGGGACAGGCAGGTAGCTTGAATTTTGCCCAAGAAAAACAGGCAGAAAACTTTAAACAATTTTATTCCGCAACACAGCCATTTCTGCTCCTAAAATGTTTTCCGATAGGTGAGAAATCAGACGAGTGCCAATTAGACACTTGTCTAATGACATGGAAAACAATGGACTGGCACCTCCATTGAGTGTCTGTGGGACAGGAGGTGGCTGGTGTGGAGCAAAGGCAAATGTGCAGAGTCAAGCATTAGTCGAAGCATTAATGTCATGGGAACCTAAAAGCAAAGGAAGACTCATTTCATTGCTATGAATTCTTTTAAAATCACTTAATTTCAATCAAATGCTTTGAACCATGCATTTGGGAACACGGTTGACAATGATTTTAGTCTCTGCTTGGATTTCAGGCTGCAAATCAGTTAAGCTCTTCAGTTCATCAAGATCTCAAGGCCGCTGCAGCTCTGAGACCCAGGGATGATGTTCTGCTGAATCACCTCGACCAGTTGCTGCCAGTGGGGACCAGTTGGAGGCTGTGTGCAGGCTGGCTGAGCGTGGAAGGTCAGTGTTAGCCACCAGGGAAGCATACAGAGAGAGTGGGGTGGAGAAGGTGAGCAGCTCCTGGTCAATCCCTTCCTCTTCACCCTTCACCAAGCAGAGGGGCAGTAACCCAGGGCAAGAGGAAAAGCCAGGAGGAGGAGTAAGCATCCAGCCTCTTGCCTATCCTCAATCCAGAAACCAAGTAAGGTGTGAGTGGGCAATTGTGGAGCCAACTGCAAAGCAAAGAGTCTCTGTCCCCAGTCAGACGAGTTAATAAGGATTATTGTACAAAGGAAGGCTGGATGGAGCAATTGTAATGAATCAGGCCTTAATTCTTCAACCAGTGAGTGCTAGAGTCTTTCAAGAAGTTCTGGCACATATCTGTAATTAATTTGCACCTGGAGAAAGATATCATGCCTGGGTTCTTGCAGGAAATTTGATTAGACTAAACTCATAGCATTCCTCTTTGAACATACTTGCAGTTATAAAGCCAGTAATAATATGTGCCAGGCAAGAAAAATATGAGAGGATAATGAGATGACTCTTTAGATGCATGGGAATCTCACAGTCGTGATGAGAATGACTTCAGGGGGGGAAAAGAAAAAAAAAAAGTAGAAGCCTACCAGATCATTTTTTCTAATGATAAGAAATGTATAGTATGTCCTTTCTACAGCCCTCAGGCAAGAAACTTCATCTAGTAAACACAAGACTTCATTCTGCTACTGCTGAAAGCAACTGGAGTTTTGGCACAGTCTTGAACTGGAGCAGCTTTGAGACCCTGGGAAGCAATAAATACAAAATTCTGAGCAAAGAACTGGTTCCCTGGAAACACACACATCAAATGTACATATCTTTCCTCCCACAGACGGAACGTCTGTCTTTAGGCTCCCTTTTTCTCCCATTTACACTGGTTTCTCAAACAGCCTCTAGCTGATGCGGTGCAAGCTGGGATACTCAGTTTGCTTCACAGCAAACAGATACCAAAACTGGAAAAATATAAACCTTTAAATTATCATCACTGTTTACTTGCCTTGACAGAGTTTACAAGTGTGGCTGGAGACCAGGGTGAGTGCTAGAGCCAGGACAAGTGTCCCAGAGACCCAGCAAGTGGCTGGGAGCACACAGACTGATGGCTCCAGCCCCACACGAGGCTCCATGGCCACCAGCAGAAAAATAAGAGTGTTATTATCATTATAACAAACAATGATAACAATGATAACAAACAAACAGGACCTTCAACAGCTGCTTGTTGAACTGGACCGGACTGTTAAAACCTTAGACTTGCAATAAATCTGAATTACTGGCTCCACAAATCAGTGTGTGACCTTTTTACCCATAAACGAAATTCTGAATCCAGCAGAAGGCACGTTCTCTGTGTCCCATGTCCCTCCCATGTGTTCCCCATCCTCTAGCTGCTCCCCTGCTAATGGCACATGGCCCAGCAGCCAGCCTCCAGTTTGGTGTGACATGACCATAGAGGTGCCAGGCAAGAAATGGACAGTGGGAACGTAGCCATGAGCAGGATCAGGAGATTGCAGAAAATAAAACTTTTTTTCTTTCTTTTTTTTTTTTTTTTAAGTAAGGTGTGAGCGACACAGACAACGTGCAAAATGAGAAAGATGATAATCTCCAGTTTAAAAATATGTTGTCTAAAATCTTTGTCTGAAACCTAAATTGCCTTTTTTTTTTTCTTTTCCCCCTCATTTCTGTGTCAGCATTTGTCAAGAGGAATCCAGACATGGGAAAAACACTTATCTGAGAACAATCTGTCAATGCTGAAAACCCACTCAGAGAGACTCATTTCAGAAATTGGGGCTTGGAGAGTTCTGCAAGGATTATTTGTTTTTCTTTTTCCATTAATTACACGCCTAGAGTCTCTCCAGTATGGATGCTCTGTACTGGAAAAGGTGTGGAAGGCATCATGCTCCACACCTGCAGCTCAATGGCTGGGATGGACTCTGCTCTGTGGCAGTTGCCACATCCTCACTGGGTGACTGCAGGCACCACAGCCCTGCCCGAGGGCTTGATCCAGAGCCCAGAGAAGTCAACACAAAGATCTCCATTGAGCTCACTGGGCTTTGAATCAGGGTTTTCAACAATCCCCTTTCAGAAAGGTCGAACAGGCACTGGCTTTCCAGACCAGCTGGTCTGGAAAATTAACGTGGGGAGGAGATCAGACTTTTATCCTTAGTGTTAGTGCGTATGCTTTCTGGCAACCCCCGTGGAAGAAGAAAATTATTATTCTAGCTCCTGTTAATGACTTTTGAGATCAGCCAAATCCCTTAGAAGGATCTTGTTCCTTTTTTCACCAGAATTTGCGAACAGCTCATCTGCAGAGGCGACAGCGAGAGTCCTCACTAAAGGTATCAAGCCTCCTATCCCCTCTTTATTATACTTTTAAAAGGAAAGAACGAGATGAAGGATGTAAGGAGGAGATAAGTAGCTCTTTAGCCGTGTTTAAGTGCCGCAGAGGAACACCTGAGTTCTGGCTCCCCGTGCTGCGAACTTGCCTTTGTCCAGAATTCTCCTTTAATGCCTGTAAAGTGCATGCAAATCTGCGGGATACAATTAAATCAGAATCTGATTGGGATGGG